ACCCTAAATCCTAAACCCTGAATCCTAAACCCCAAACCATAAATCCTACACTCTAAGCCATAAATCCTATATCGGCTCTAGAGTTTGTGCAAAGGAACCTAAGCCTATGCCGGGCGAAAGTGAAAAAAAGGGTTTAGGGGTTTAGGGTTTAGGGTTTAGGCTTTGCGGCTTAGGGGTTTAGGCGCTTAAGGTTTAGGGTTTAGGGTTTAGGCTTTGCGGCTTAGGGGGTTAGGCGCTTAAGGTTTGTCAGTTTTAGGGTTTAGGGTTTAGGTTGCTGCGTGGTTGTTTTATCCTGAGGCCCCAGTCACTCAAATAGTCGGTTGCCAACCGTAAAATATGTAAGTCAGTACTCGTACCCCATTATTTAGATGTCTAGAGGTCTAGGGTTAGCCTTAAGCTTTTAGGGTTTGGTGCTTGTTTTGCGGGTGTAGGGGTTTAGGGATTCAGTCTAGGATATTTTCAGGTGGGTAGTTACCGTTATAGGAGCCTGATAGAAGTCTATATACCTTATAGAAGCCTTATAGAAGCTCTATATACCCTAAACTCCCCACCTGTTGTTTCCTTTAATATAGTGTATGGGTACGTGGACCCGTAAGGGAGGAGCAGCAGAGCAGCATGCCTTCAGACTTAGGCCCTAAACCCTGAACCCCCAAAGCCCTAAACCCTAAAACCCCAAAGCTCTAAAGCCCTACCCAGCTTAGGCCCAGAACGAGCCAAGAAAGGAAGTCCACCTGGGTACGTGGATAGAAGGCCTAGGTAGGCCTTTGGGATACTTCATAGCTAAATCCTCAGCCCTACTTGGAGGCCCAGGGGACTTAGTAAGTCGGTTATAAGTAGGGTTATAGTTGGGGTAACTCCATTTAGGGTACCGAGAACTCTACTTATAACCTACTTCCTAAGTCCCCTGGGCCTCCAAGTAACACCCTACATGATGGTGTTTTCCCCTGTTGTTGCTGAAGAGTATCTCATGTCATTGTTTAAACGGCTTTAGAGTTTAGAACTTAGGGTTGAGGGTTAAGAGTATCTCATGTGATTGTTTAAACGGCTTTAGGGTTTAGGGTTTAGGGTTTAGGGTTTAGTTATTGTTTAAACGTTCCAAGGGCCAACTTTATAGACCTTTCTACCCTGCTCCCAGCCTACGCTATGAAGTCAATTAAAATGGCAAGTAAAGTCCTTGCTTGAAAGGGTCCGACGTACTGTTGCTATGAGGGCTCCTCTAAAGGCTTCCTGTATGGGGGATACTTGACAAACCCTAAACCCTAAACCCTAAACTCTAAACCCTAAACCCTAAACCCTAAACCCTGAACCGAAACCACAATCAGCAATTCCTAGTGTAGAAAACGGACCCTCAGGGTCCGATTCCACTGAATCCCGGCGCCTGAGCCGTAAAAAATTTCGGCTTTCGGGTGAGAATGGCACGGCAAGAAAAGCGAGAGCCACGGTTTAGGGTTTAGGATTAAGGGTTTGGGGTTTAGGGGTTTGCCCGTGTTGGTTTCGCACGTAGATAGCATAATTAGTCATGTCCCTATGTGATGGCCGCTGGTCCACCGTTGGTTTCCTCCAGAAAGCTGGAGGAGTGGGTTGCACCAGCCCCTGAATCTTCAACCCTAACCCCCCAAACCCTACACCCTAATCCCGAAAAGCCTTAAATGGCTTGGCCCTAGCATTCTGGAATCTGTTTACCCGCATCTTTCAGGGCTTCGTGGGCCCAAGCCCTCAAGCGCTTCTTGGGGGCCGGGGGGGAGAGGAAAAGCATTTTTTAATCTACCCACAGGCTCCATAATAGTTTCTTCGTGTGATTTCTATTTAGGATCCTATAAGGTAATCCCAGAAAGGACTACTATGGAGCACCATTGCTGCAGTAGAACAGAGTATCGTCGCTGCAGCTGCTGACTTACACTTGTCTTTGCTACTGTCTGTTTTTGGGCCCGGTGCGACAGAGGCCTTCACACTGGCGCCAAAGAGGGCATCGTCTGCATCGAGGCAGGCGACAAGGTGTGGCAGGTCGTCGTTGACAGAGGATGGTGCGCCTCGCTGATACCCGGAGTGCCAGAAGGAGCAACGGATGCAAATGGATCGAATATCCGGACCCGTTGTTGCAGCAAGCACGTAGCTGGCGGGTATCGGCCGAGAATTCTTGCTGCGTGTCTGGAGGGAGGGAGGGGAGAGGGAGGGAGGGAGGGAGGGCGCCGTGGAGCAGACTGCCGGCCGTTGCTTCTGATGGCGGGGAATGATGCGCCTCGGTGCATCCGCCCGAGCAGCCGGCAGGCAAAGAAGAAATGCGATCTCGTCGTGGGAACACAAATCATGGTCAGCTCACCGAATGTGGCTGCCAAGGCTCATGACACTGCATATTGCCAGTCAGCTTGGCCAGGGTATGTTTGGCACAGTGTCGAGGGCCATGTTGCCGGAGGTGGCTCCGAATCCCGCAAATCCTGAGCTTTCTGGCCCGAAGCCGTAGACAACCATACAAACGCTAAACAGTTCAACCCTACAAAAACTAACAAGCCCAAGCCTTTACCCCACAGCCCTGAACCCCTAAACTTTCAAATCATAGAACCACGATTCCCTGTTTGTAACCCTGTTTGAGCCCGTTACACACTACACTCGAGTGTCTTGAAGACTTGCCAAATCTATTCCTCAGCGTTCTTTGATTTAGATAGATATACTGAACTAGAGCAGGCCTCGGCACCCCAGCATAAATCATAGAGGCCCATGTGCTACAGAACCCTTATCGTAACCAATTAACGAACCCGTAACGAATCCAGTCAGATTACCAAGGCTGCTAAGGCTCTTACTTCAAGCCCCAACACCCGCAAGACCACCGGTTCAGGGTTTAGGGTTTTAGGGNNGGGTTTAGGCTTTTAGAGCTTTAGGGTTTTAGAGTTTTAGGGTTCAGGGTGTAGGTTTTCAGGGTTTAGGGTCGTTCTGTTCCGAAGAGGTGGGCACCATCACAGTCTCGCGTGCAGTGACTGCCGACGGGCCCGTGCCGGCACAGGAGAAATTCACATGTTGAACTAAGGTTAGTTTGGGTTTAGGGTTTAGGGATTCTTGTTTAGGGTTGGTTGATGTTGTCTGATTTGCAATAGGGCTTACGGGTTACTGTGAGGGCTTCCTTTAAGTTTGAAGGGGCGTAAAGTTGTTGTCAACTCATTTATTACGGTTTGCCGGTTTAAACTACCCATAGTAGTACCTCTTTGTGGTTCATATTTAGGATCCTATAAGGTAACCCCAACAAGGAACTGCTAGCCTATGGGTAGATATTCAGCTTCGGAGGCTTGACCACAATTACGTTTTGTAGCATTCGATTCTGTAGTTCCGTCTAATATAGGGACCTAAATAATTCCCTATACCATTTGGGAGGGTTCCTTATCACATGTCTAGTATGATGGGCCCCGAAACCCCATTCTGATGATTGAGGCTCCTACCTTATTCATATCTGTGGTTCTTCGACTTGGCGCTTCCATTATAGGCCTGTGTTTTTCCTGACTTACTACAGCGAATCATTGAAAGTTGGAACATGGGTTTCGGACGATTAGTGCTAGGATTCCATTCGCTTTACGTTGTTAAGGGCATGAGGGAAGTGATGTTCCAACTTCCTGGCTTCTACTATAAGTCCATGATCCACTAAGTATCTTATGTCATGCCTCTTGCCTGCAATCTTTTAGAGTCCTTACAACGCCATCATAGAAAACCTAAGCCCTAAACCCATCGCACACCTAAACGCTAGCGTCGTAGCCTCACTGGTAGACCCCTCCATCGTACGCCCGTGAGATCGGAATGCCCGCCGATGTAGATAAATAATTAAAGCAAGATGTTCGAAGTCTTTTACTACTATAGTATAGGTTGTTGTATGTTTTGCTATATGAATGATCATTCAAGGATTCTGGAGTATATACATGTAAAGTTAGATTATGTTGGTATATTCAGGCTTCCGTTAGTGGCAGCGGCCATGATCGAGCCACTCTTCGGAGACCTGGACTCAGGCGGGATGTTGGGTGGTGTTAAGGTTTACCTGGACCCTAAAGAACCTACCTTTTTAGGGTTCCTCCCATATAGAAGTCCTTAAAAAGGTACGTTATTTTGGGGTTAGGGTTTAGTTTAGGATGTAAAGTACAAGCCAGAAAGTTGGAACATCACTGTCCCGGTGCCCTTAAGGTAAATCGTATAATTAAAGGATCCCTAAACCCTAAACCTTAANNTTAAGCCCTAAACCCTAAACCAGATCAGAGATTCCAGCTTTCTGGGCTTCCCCCGTATGGTTTTTTTTACAGGAGCGAGGGGATATTCGCAGAATTCGGTTCGGGCCCTAACTAAGGACCGGAGCTTTTAGGGTCCTCCAACGCAGGTACAGTTCCCTCCAAAGTCTCCGACAGCGCGTCTGAGCCACTGCCTCGTGTGGTGCTGCAAGGCATCTCCGTTGAAGATGTCAAAGCGCGGGACAAAGTGCACTACAACATGAATCTGGGCTTATACCAGTATGTGTGCAGCTTCCGATGTTGGTTGTCGTGCCTTGCTACACCCTAAACCCTAAGCCCTA